GCTGTGTTCATCCAACTCTACACCTTGTTATCTCAGATTCTCCAGCATCTGCAGCTCCTACTATCTTTAAAATAATCTTGCAATCAGCTTTTAGCACTATAACTTGCAGCGCACAATTTCCCATATTCCACCACACAAAAGGAAATTTTAAAAAACTTGCATTTTGTTAGCAGTTTTTTGATTTTCGGATGGTCTAATGTACTTACACTTTTTACTTTTGGAGTGTTGTTACTGTTATGTTATAGGAAGTGTAGCAAACGATTTGCGCAAAGCAAGTTCCCATGCCTTTATTTATTTTAATGTCATTGAATGAGGGATACATACAGGCCAGGAATGAAGACCATACTGAAGTATACAATATATTTATTTCAAAACCATTCAAAATTTAAACTTGTGTGAGTAAATGAAAAGTCAAAGTAAAATAAATTTATTTCCTGCGGTAGCACATTCATACCGAACAGCGTGGTCATTTAATTTTTATTCAAGGTGAACATAATACAAGGAGTGCATTTCAACAAGAAGAACTTCTCTAACAAGCTCTAGATTTTCAAGTTGGTGACAGTTTGCATTCGCTTGTTTCCATGGGTATCTATTTTCCTACTCTGTTATTGTTACTGTCAGCTAAATGCTTAATTTGCTATCTAACCATGCACTGAAATGTTGCTACCCTGCATAATGGCTGAAATCTGTACAAGTTGATGCCACTTGTAACCTTTCGTTGGGCAAAGACAAATGTGGTTAGGTCTTCCAATCTAAGGCAATGATTTTGCCATTACAATAAGGTCTTGCATAAATCCTATTGCCATAGCTGCTGTACAGACTCAAAGCTTACTACACACAAGGCCATTATCTCTTCAAGTATGCACTGGATCTTTGCCAAAGCAAACTGATTCCACTCATCTTATATTTGCACTATATTAAGTACTATGTACTATTCAAAGAATTATTCAATGTTCCCAAAAAAGAAGCAATGCTTTCTGCTTCTCTAATTTTCTGTATTGAAGCATTCAGTGCTCCAAAGCATTTAGTACAAAAAGAATTTCTACTAACCTCTCTTCTTACTCTTGATTATTTTCAATTGATACTCCCTTGTCATGAATTCTATTACATGATGGAATAGTCCTCCATTGTTCAATATGTCAAAACTCTATGAAATACCCTCAGCCTTTCGCAGTATGGTGAAATAGCCTCTGTAGCTCAAGGTTCTAGTCAGGCATTATCCTGGTGAGCTGAGAGCTCAAATGGGCAGTTCATAGCTGCACACAATACTCTTTGACTTAACCTAACCTGCCTTTGTTAACTATAAAATGCTCATTGTGTTCTACCTGAGGACAAGCCCTAATTCAAGTGTCTCACTTGCAATTCTTGAACAATTCTTATTAGAGAAAAGAATGTTATTATCCCAGCTGATGGCAATTTGGACAGGTCAGATCCCAGAATGAAACCTAGCTTGATAGATTGTATCTTTAATTTTTGTTGCTATTTAGCTTGGTGGTTAGTCACTGACATATATTCACAAAAGACTGCAGATGCTCTTTAAAACATAACTTCATTACACAAAAGAGGAGATAAACAAAGATACACATGTGTATAACAGTTAGAAAGATCCTGGGTGGAATCTTACAGGGGCCTGAATAGCGTTGGCTTCAGTGAGAAAACTGGGAGAATCAAAGAAGTCCAGCAAAGCCTATCTTGACAGCAGGAGAAATTAGCTGCATTTTCTAACAGACTTCCAGGCATAGATGAGATTCTCAATAGGCATATCCCTGCTGCTGAACAAGGGGGATAATCGCTGAAACAACAAACGCTGAAGATCACAGCGGGTCATCCATGGAGAGACAGCAAGCTAATGTTTTGAGTCTAGATGACTCTTCATCAGAGCTGAAGTGAAGTGTGGAGGGGACAGCATATATGCTATAGTTTGGGGGGTAGGGGGTGTAGGGTGCTAGTGAAGAAAAGATGTTGATAGTTCAGATTAAGTGAGTGATCGGAATGTCAAAATGGCAGAACAATGGTATGGCTCCTGCCAGACTGGAAAGGACTGTAAGTGGGATGGGGGGGGGGGGGGGGGGAAGGAAGGACAAAAAAAAAAAACTAAAAGTAAAAGAAGAAATGGTTCACAATTTAAAACTGTTGAACTCAATTTTATGTCCAGAAGGCTGTAAAGTACCTAGTCTGAAGATGAGATGTTGTTCCTCCAGACTGCATTGTGCTTTGCTGGAACACTGCAGCATGCCGAAGACAGACATGTGGGCATGCGAATAGGATGCTATGTTAAAATGACTGGCTACACTGAGAAGGGGGATTATTGCTTACTGGTAGCCGAACTAACGGCAGGTCCTGCCTGATTAAATGCAGCCTCCTATACTACCACTTCCTGTGAGGAAGCCAATCACTCAAAGGTCTCGACATAAAAATCTGAGCAGGTAGTTGGGGACTACTTGTTTCTCGGACTCCTGCCTCCTGCATCTCAGGATACACTCCTTAGGCAGTGACAGCACGTACCACACATCCGAGGACCTTGGCAATAGCCACTTGACAACCTCTCCACATCATGGTACTTACAAATACACTCCTGCATCTGCATTCTGTGGCACTCCAGCAACTATCACTGCAATTCTACTGTAAGGACATTTTATGCACATGGACAGGCACCCAGCTGAGGGATTGGACTAGGCTGCATCTCAGGTCTGTTGGCTTGCTCTCCATTAGCCTTCCTAGATGTTCACAGAATCTTTTTCTTACCTTTCTGCACTTTGCCCCCTCAGCTAGAGCTACAAGGTTCATAGTGCTTTTTTTTAATTAATTCATAGCGTTGAGGGCACGCTGGCGAGGCAGCATTTATTGCTCATCTCTAATTGCCCAGAGGGCAGTTAAGAGTCAACCACATTGCTGCAGGTCTGGAGTCACATGTAGTCCAGACCAGGTAAGGATGGCAGTTTCCTTCCCTAAAGAACATTAGTGAACCAGATGGATTTTTCCCGACCATTGACAATGGATTCACGATCCAGATATTTATTGAATTCAAATTCTGTCATCTGCCATGGTGGGATTCAAAACCAGATCCCAAGAACGTTATCTGGGTCTCTGGATTAACAGTCTGTTGATAATACCACTAGATGATAGCAAGAACTGCAGATGCTGAATACCAATAGGCCATCGCCTCCCCAACTTCTGTTTTGCCTTGCCATTTAGAACAGACACAAGGCCAGAAAGCTTGTCATGGATGTCATCAGTATGCAGTCAAGTCAAGGGAGACAAGTCAGGGGCTCCTAGCACAGTAAATCAAGGCCAGCCTCAAATAGCAGTCCAGGGGGTTTGCCATAGTCAGTCAGCCCCTTGGGGAGATCAGGGTCAGGATCTGCTTCAAAGGGTGAGGAGACAAATGTTGGGCAGCCCATCAGCTGTCTTGCCTTATTCGGCCTTATTGTGGGCTATTTTCTCCTATTATGAGAAAAAGGGAATTGGCTTTTAGTGCTGGTACAGGTCAGGGAAAAATTTATTCTGAATGAGTTATTCTGAGCAAGTAAGTAGGCAGCACAGAGGCATGCAGGGTTAGTGTGTCGGGAGTTGAGTGAGAGCTACGGAGGAAAATATTGTATGCAATAGTGGTACAGCATGAGTAGAGCAGTAGCAGAGCATGAGAAAATTTACTAGGGTTCACGGAGAGCAATTTTCTACAAAACGCAATGAAATTGAACTAGCTAAAAAAAAAATGTATCATTCAGTCCCTTAATACTTTGAAGATTTCTATCCAAACTCTTCTGGCTTACAAGTTCCATAGCTAGAAACCTCCTCCACTAAGGTGACTGGGTCCTCTGAGTTGAACTAGAAAAGTACATGGTTCCTCAGCTATGAAAAAATTATTCTCTTCTGAGCTGAAACTTCGGCACAGAATTTATGTGCTAGAGGCCGAACTAACGGCACTGTAAAGCACCAGAATTGTTTGTACTAGGAGGCAGTCACACAGCTAAAGATAGGATCTTCTGATTTGATTAGTGATCAGGGATGAGGGTGTAACTCTGACTGTGGCAGGTACGGGGAACACAGAGGGCAGGAGTGTCAGCCTCAGAAATTATCCATTAGGTTTGACGTTCTCTCAGCCTGTTTGAAGGTCAGCAGGGTGGATGTGCAAACTAACCATGGCACATGAAGCCATTCAAGCTGGGAAAACAACAAAGAATTTAGTAGCTGTAGGTGACGGTAAAGTCATCATAGCCCGAGAGAACAACAGGGCTGTTCTCTCAATACAGAGAAATGACTGGTGGTGGTTTAACCTGAGGTTCACCATGCCTCAGGTGAGGCGCAAGGTTGAGAAGGTTGGATCTTCACGGTAATCTGTAGGTATACCAAGGTTCTCTGCAGGGCAGAGAGAGAGTCCAGCTGGCTGTGTTGCCTGCCCGGTGCCAGAGCAAGGAACATAAGCAGAGTGCTGGAAAAGAAAACTGTGGTGGAATAGGGAAGATCACTATGTTCCAGCATAACCTTTCTGCTATTAAACTTTATGCTTTGGCTAATAGACATTACCAGGAACAGTACCCCAACTATGAACATCCATTAATGCAGAACTGAACACCAATCATCTGTTGAAGACAGTAAGGACGGCAGATGCTGGAAGCTAGAGTTAATAAATGTGGAGCTAGAAAAACACAGCCGGTCAGACAGCATCCAAGGAGCAGGAACGTCAACATTTTTGAAGTTCTGACGGAGGGTTTCGGCCTGAAACATTGACTTTCCTGCTCTTTGGATGCTGTCTAACCAGCTGTACTTTTCCAGCTCCACATTTATTGACACCAGTCATGTGTTGCAGTGTCTTTAATTCAGAGTACAATTAAAATTTTTATGCACTAATTATTGGGCAAAAAAAAAACTCATTCATCTGGAAGATAGAATTACACAACATTTGTAAGCAGTTCATTCTTAAATTGCATAAATGGTCATGGGTAATACTCACATGTTGCAATGACATAAACAGCTCCTTTCAGCATATACTTCAGCTCCCTCTCCCTTGCCACTTCAATAGCCTTGACAAATATGCCTTCCCAGCTGTAAAGTTTCAAAAGCTGGAAGACAAAAGAAATAAAGGTTAAATAAGAATTTTATTGAAAATTATTTGCGTAACTCTTCCTAACGTAAAAGTTGACAAAGACAGGCCAGTACAAGGCAGTTGAAAGAAAGAGCAGCACACACAAAATCAAGAACAAAAACAAATTTGCTGGAAAAGCTCAGTAGGTATGGCAGCATCTGTGAAGGAAAAAAGTTAGTGTTTCGGGTCCGGTGACCCTTCCTCAGAACAGACAAAATCAAACAGGTTTGAGTGGCAGCAGACAGCTCTTGGTATAGAATAATTACTTAAAGCCTTCAGTCATTCCTTAAATAATTTAGTGGTAAATCATTACCACACATCAAGAAAAAAAACCCAAGGCACAGTTCTAATAATGTAGGAAAGGGAATAGTTACATTCTACATCATCTGGCTTCATGAATTTTCTTCCAAAATTAAAAACTTAACAATGCAACAAAAGTGAGACTCTTTAAGGACAATGCATGCAAAAAAAGTTACATCTTCAAATAATGATAGAGCTTACATTTATATAAAGCCTTTCACAAACTCAAGATGTCCCAAAATGCTTTTACAGCCTATGCAGAATTGTAATAATGCAGCAAATAATATTTGCAACACAAGATCTTGACAAAGACCAAATAAACCAATGACAAAAAAAACTAAAATGGTCTTAAGGCAATGGGTATGGAATAGTGTGGGACAAGACCCTCCTCTCTTTTAATAATACCATGGGCTTTTTACTTTGTGCAGAAGACGACTGACTGGGCCTTGACGGAACTTCTCATCCAAAACAAAACACTGTAATAGTGAAATTCTCCCTCAGTATTGCAATGAAGTGTCAGCCTAGATTACGTGCTCAAGACTTTCTGATTTAGGGCAAAAATGCTACCACTCAGCCTATGAGAGCATCTTAAGTAGCAGCACAGAAACACTTTCAGAGACAGTACGAACTGCAGATGCTGGAGAATCTGAGTTAACAAGGTGTAGAGCTGGATGAACACAGCAGGTCAAGCAGCATCAGAGGAGCAGTAAGGCTGACGTTTCGGGCCTAGACCCTTCTTCAGAAACACTGTTTGGCACAGGAGCAAGCTAAACATTTGTTGCAAGAATGAGGCATTGTGCAGAAAGACAGAGTAAAAAAATTCAACTTTACTAACCACCTGATTGCACAAAGCTATTTTACTAGATGAGTCATTAGACAGTGTCCAGCTCAAAGGCCTCGATAACTATACAACAGCTTTTCATAGGGCCCTTGTGGTGGACTGGTAGTGTCCCTATTTCTGAGGCAAGAGGCCTGGGTTCAAGTCCCACGTTCTCAAGAGATATATAATGACAACTCTGGACAAGGTGATTAAAAACTATCTACAACATTTCCAGAGAACATATAAACCAGAAAAGTCAATCAAGGGATTTTTAAAAAAACGCATCAGAAGCAATTTTATCCCAGACTTTCTGGAAACAATCGAATAGAAAAGCACTCTCCTTTTACACCTCTGCAGGAATAAAAAAAATCTACAACAGTGAAGACCGAATCATTGGTTTCTCACTGCATGCATTCAACTCAATACAGGCTTCAAAGCGAAACTGAATGCAAACTGTTTCGCTGTGCACCCTGTATTGTCACGCTCCGCAGGGATACTGCCAATAATTCAAGTCCCATTATTCCTGAAGTCATCACAAATGTGAAAATTAGATTAACCACCGAAATTGCCAAATTCTACCTAACTAATGTCACATTGAAGCCACGTAGCCAGTTGGAGCTTTTGCACACTAACATTCTAATGTCCAGTTACAGAGGTTATTGCTGCATATGGATTTCAGATGTCCGCACAACGATAGAAATAACTATAGGGAATGCAGTACCTGTTTAATGTGAGTTAAAAGCATGTGCACATGGGCGTGCATAACTTTCAACTGAGGAGTTCGTAGACCACACATACATGGTCTCCAGAAGGAGCTTGCCGTTTAGAAGGCAGGCTGCCTCCTTTGAAATCAGATTGTGGAGTCCCTAGTGTCTGGAACCTGGAATGTGCAAATTAGTCCAGGTTAAGAGCAACTCAGGCCATTTTATTTGGATAACCAGGGTAGTCCTTTGGAGCAAAAACAAAGTTGCTGGAAAAGCTCAGCAGGTCTGGCAGCATCTGTGAAGGAGAAAACACAGTTAACGTTTCGGGTCCGGTGACCCTTCCTCAGAACAGAGGGTAGTTCTTTGGAAAGCTGAGGTCCACATGCAGATATGTTCTCAAGACAACTTGGGATGCAGGACCATGGGGGGGATTCAGGTGATCTTTGAATTTGTTACATACAGATATGATTGTGCACAAATGTCCCAAAAATGCCATTTTTCTGATTTCATACGTGGGAGTTGCTAGCTTGACCAGCATTTATGTCACATCTGTAAATGCCATTGAACTGACTGACTTGTCAAGACCAGTCAACAAGTCTCAAAATGTATATCTTTGAGAGTGCTTTTCTCAATACAGAATATTATAAAATAAAACAAATTCTAAAATTTGTGGGTTTTTTTTCCAATGTGCTTGAGTACAAGCTGTTCCAGTACAGCTACAACTTGACATTTACCGACAATGTAGAAAATTGCCCAGGTATGTCCTATACACAAAAAACAGGACAAGTCCAACCCGATAAATTGCTGTTCCATCAGTTTATTCTCAATTATCAGAAAGTGATGAAAGGCGTCATCAACAGTGCTATCAAGCAGCACTTACTGAGCAATAACCTGCTCAGTGAAGCTCGGTTTGGGATCTGCTAGGATCAATCAGCTCCTGCGGCGTAGGACACATAGGATTAAGATACGAAGAAATTTCTTCATTCAGAAAACGGTGGGCTTGTGGAATTCTCTATCACAGAAAGCAGCTGAGGCTAAAAACATTGAATGTTTTCAAGAAGGACAAATGTGCAGTTGTTATGGCTAAAGGGATCAAACGGATGGTAAGAAAGTGAGAACAGGACACTGAATCGGATGATCAACTGTGATCATACTGAATGGCTGAGAAGGTTTGAAGGACCAAATAACCTGCTGCACTATTTTCTAAATGTTTGTTGACGTAAGTAATTAAGCACTTAAAGGGAAATGTTTATTTTCATAAGGAAATAGCTGAAGCTATTTTAACGTACAAAATATCAATTAGATTGTATCTTTTTCAATAGTGACAGAAATGCACTAACAACTTTATTCTGTGTCACGATGCCTCCTGATTAATGCACACGCTGGATAATAGGCAAGTTGATATGGTGAAGGTGGAGCAAAGTGGGATAGGTGGGAAGTACAAGTTGGTACAGTTGACATGGGTACTATGAAGTGCTATGGAGTAATTGTGAACATGTGGGAATGAGGGGCCACAGGAGCGGCACAGGGGGTTTGAAGTTTAAGGAGATGGACCACAGGAGGTATTAGGGGCCTTAGGAGATTGATAGATGGGCATGGGGCTCCACAAGGGATGAAGTGCCATGACAGGTGGAGACAGGGGCATAGGTTGGCCCATATGTGGCACAGAGAGTGAGGAAAGTAGAGATAGGAGGAGGAGGAATATTTTCTGTGTACAAAGGTCAAAAATATAAACTAACACAGTGCTGGAACACCAAGACAGACATTGGCAACTGTCAGCCTCTTATAATTCTCCCAGGGTTACTGGACTGACTCACAATCCAGCTCGCACTATACCCTTCTACCCAAAACTGAAAACGAGCTGTGCGGGTGGGCATTTTTAAATTTCCAGTTCATAGTTCCAGATTTCTCCTGACTCTGCACTCTAAAACTGGGGGCTCTGTTTGTTCACACAATAGCAAATCTTGGAAGAAGTGTAATTGGTAATTCAATGCAAGCCAAGTACTGCAATCCTCTTTATTCTTTACAATAGTAAGTTTTACACGGCTTTGAAAGGAAACAGATAGGCAATGCTCAAATAAGGAGCTTTTATTCTAAAATATAAATTTACTGAAGCTCTTAATAAGCGTAAGATTCTACAGCATGCTCTATTTTGGTATTACATGGATCCTGTAATTCTCAGAATATTGTAATCAGATGTGATTCAACACAAGGAACGAGTACTGATATACTATGCACAATAATTCAGAGTCTGAATTTCAAAAATTTCCCTAAAAGGGCAACACAATAATAAGCCACAATGTATTAATTCTATGAATCCCACTTTCAAAAACGCTGATTATGCATTGTGAAACAGTTGTAGAAAATGAACAATTAGCTATTATTGGGACTTTTAGACAATACATGACTTGTTCAGCACATTTGGCCAGATAATTTCCATGTAGACTAAATAAATCTCAAGACAATCTCGCATTCTGTTAGTTTGAATACTGTTCATCAGCAGTGTAATCTCCTGAACTTGATTTACAGTTTCATGATAGTTTAATGTGGGGATACAAATGCAAAACTAAATGCAAACTTCAGAGCACTGCAAGCTAAAATGCTTACTAACCACATTGTTTAAGCAACCTGTATTGTTATTAGCTTTGAAATTTCACAACTTAGAACTGAAAGCATTCATCACATCGCACATTTCATATATTCTATCCTTAAAGGCATATCATAAAAACATTAACACTAGTAATATAGTAAAACGAGTTAAAAAGGAGAAATGATCAACTGGAGATCTTGCTCCAAACTGCTACACAAATGAATATCATTGCTGAAAAGTCTGTGCATGCAATTAAGAAAATCGGTTGTTACATTCATGTGAAGAATGGCTATATACAGAAAATAACCATAGAGCTGCAGATTCTCTCCTCGATGACAGCCTTCAGCAGAAGATGGAAGTTAAAGGAAGTAAAGGATGTTTCACTATGTTCAAGGTCATCTCAGCATGAGAGATGCACAAATTCAACATTTGCAGAGGGATTTTTGGAACATAATACACAAAAGTGAAGGCCACGAAATTAATAAATTTATCCAAACTGAAATTATCTTACAACTTGGCAGATTGGATATTTCAGTATGTGGAAGCACTGCTGTACTCTTTTG